TACATTTGTGGGAAGTTTACTGACCCAAAGAATAACATTTATCTTTGATACTATTAACAATAACCAAATGCTGATACAAGCCTCTCACTGATATTAGACAGATTTTGAGTTGATTAAATGAAAATTAATTTACTTCAGGAAGTACACGCAGCAATCTTGAAACATGAAACTATTCATAACTTAGCCCCCGTGTTCTGCGCTGAGCTATTAACCAGTCCAACTCCAGCAAAATGCAGTTCTAACTATGGAACGCAAACACCAGGTACTACAAATAGAGCATTTTCAAACTTTTGCTTAAAATCAAGATAACACATGCTTTTGCAATCAACAAACTTTGCCACACTTCTCAATTCAAGGGTACTATTTGCTCTCATGTTTATATGGAAAAAAGTATTGGATGGCAAGACACAAAAAGCATGGCTACATTACCACGGCTCACTTACACCTGCGCTGCTTACTGTTTTGTTAGATTCAAATCATTCTAATTATTAGTTTCTCATCTTGGATATTTCATATGGGCCCAAGTACTGCAGTATCACTACATCTCACAGCCTTCAATGTATACACCCTTGTATCATCTCTTTGAGACGGAGAAATACTTCCGCTTTTTCAAGAGGGGAGACTTTGGTATAGACAAGCAGTTTATTCATCCAACAGCTGTCACTGAAATTACACAACATAAATTCTCCTAAATTCCACACTAGCATCTGTAAGACTAAAGACCCTTTTTCTCAGGCCTTGACCCACAACACCCTCCATTTTCAACAACGGGTTTATAGCAAGCTCTTCGCATCTCTGTTCTCTCAAACCAGAGGCTAGATCTTACTGTATCTTCAGTTTTGTCCATAAACAGGTTTGAAGTTTGGTTCATAACAAAAATATGCTAAGGATCTAAGCCCTAGTGCCTAAATATTGAAAGGGAACTCCAGACACTGTAACAGAATTAAATCCACAGAACATACTGACCCAGAGCTGACCAGTGACTCACAGTGCCACCTGCATGTGACACAAGAAGGTGAAAAGGAAAAGCCAGAAAACTCTGGGAAGAAAAAAACATTCTTAAAGAAGAATGACTGATTCCTTAATTATTGTCACAACCAGGGGGGAAAAAACCAAAAGTTATGTCCATGCCCAAATATTTCTAAGAAAAATGGAGTAGAAATCCCTTGTTCCACACAGTCATTATATGAATAGGGAACAAAATCCCACTGAAAAATGGGCATGGAGAAAACAATTTTTTTTTCTGGTGTGTGGGGAATGGAGAAGTCTTGAGTCCTTAAAGAATAAGCTTGCCTTTCTTTCGCTAAATGCAGAGAAAACCTAAGGTAGAAATGGCTTATTTAAAGTGTTAAGATTTTGTGACCTACTTCACTCCCGTAGGTGGATTTCTTGTTAGAGAAAATATATAGATTTAAAACAAAAACTTATGACCCGCTAGCATATGGATCACTTAGCACTTTAAAAAGATTTAAATTTTACAATTTTAGTGAAACTGCTTCCGTAATAATAAACATTCCTGTGTTTTGAAAACTATAATACACCATTTTTTCTTTCATCTCTACATAAGTACAATAGGCAGAGTACTCTGAGAAACAGTTCTGCCTGGAAACACTAACCTAAGTTAACTTCAGAAGAAAGTAGAGTAGCAACTACTATATATAGGCCTCCATTAGCCAGCTAGACTAACAATGTTGGCTGTCTTCCAGATAAGCACTTTCACTCTCTTAGACCCATAGGGAGCACTGCAATTGCATGCAAGCAGGGAGTAAAGGGAGGAGCAGAAAATGCGAATAATGCAGAGGGAAAAAAAGCAGTACAGCAGTACTTAATTTTTAATGGAAACTAAGTTGCTTACTTCCATTTGTGCATTGATATTTTCCCTCCCTTTATTCTTGTTTTAACTCGGCTAGCTGAAAAGTCCAGCTGCTCTGTGCACAGATTAAACCTCAATGGTGTCTCATTAAAATGTATGCCACCAATCACATTTGACTTACATATATGAAAAATAGAAGTTACTCTCAGCTGAGCTGAGGCATTGTATGCAGAGCAGTATTCCTTCAGGGCATGCAGCTGACTAAAGTTATTGGGGCCTCAGGCACCAAAAAGACTGAGACGCTTAAAAGAAAACACAGTAAGCAAACTGTCTTTTTTCTACCCCCTCGCTCTTTCCTCTTCAGCAGTTTCATTGGGAGGGCTGGCACTTCAAAGGAGCCATCTTCACTTGCACTTGTCTTTCTGTGGTTGACAGAACTGGACTGGTGGCTATAGCACAGATCAGATGAAAGAAGATCCTCTACTTCTCAGAAGTAGAAATCTGGGGAGGTATCTTCAGAGAAACCCAGATTCTGCAGAACAGCAGATAATCTTGCTCCATAGAGATATCTAGGGCTCAGAAACTGAAACAACTACAGTAGTGTCCAACAGGGAAGAACCTGCCAGAGGTGTGGGTGGCAGGGCATGATAGATCAGGGAGCTAACTCTTGCCTATCAGCCATAGGGAAAACATTTGTAAGACCTACCTGCAATAAACAGCAAGAGTAAAAACTTTTCAGAAGAAAGTAAGAGCCAGTGGCAAGCACAATGGACAACTGAACCTAGAGGAGAAGGCTGACAATTTCACGGCTGGAGTCAATACTGTCCTAGAAACCAGTCTGCCAAAGAGAGGAGAAGCAGACTGTGTGTTACAACAGCTTTGTGTGGCTGCGGTAGAAGAAAACTGAGGCAGAGGCAAACACTGAACAAAGGAAAGACTGCTCAGAGGCAGTTCCCTTACTATAGCCCTTTCTGTGCTGCGTCTCATCTCTCTGCCCTCTCTCTTCCTGCCTGTAACCTCCTAGCATTAACTTAAGCACTGTTTTACCCACTTGAATATAAACATATTTAAACACCATTTACTTAAATTATCATTTTGGATGACTGGGCAAAGAATACACAGTCATTTTGCTTGCTTCTGTATGCAAGTCAAAACACTATAAATTCCTGCCCAGTTTATATTCTCGTTTCCACTCTGTCCACTCTGATGTGTTCTGCCCCACTCCTGAGGCCACCTGGGGGTATCTGAATTAGCTATAGCTAAAGCTAAGTAACTTCTGAGTTGGGAAGTCAGTCCCAGTAGAAATTTCTTCCCTGACCAGCTTGCTCCTAGCCAGGAGGTTTGCCAAGCTACCAAGATGTAGCATTGCAGCATCAGCAGTAGTTTCATACTAAGCCAAAACTGTAGTGTTCAGTAAATGTCATTCTCTTACTGAATTGTTTCCAGACAGCATTGAGGGATTTGACCATTTCCACAGCATGTTGAATAACACCGCCCTAACTATTCAACAAAGGTTAGCAACACTTAATATATACTTCTGGCATTCTCCCAGCTGGATTCAGGGCACAAAAAAAGGCCCATCCTTCTGCATTCTGTCTCAGAAGTTTACCGCAACATAGAATTTTAGTACTGAATAACCTTCTATTACTAGTATTAGTCAATAAGTTATATAGGTTATTAGAATTATCCAATATTCAGAGAATAAAATTATGGCAGCTTTTAGAAATAAACTAGACCTTTAAAAATCAAAGTGTGTTATATGAATATTAATGAGCTAAATGTTTTAAAACTCTCTTTAAAATTAACGCAGGTAAATATCATTAAAGTTGAGCTTACCCTCTTCTCTCAAACTGGGGCTCTTTCTAACACTCTATTCTAGTTCATTCTCCATATGCAGCTTCTGACCTTGCATTGCTCCTTTTACCCATTAAAAGCTCCACTGTTTTAATCGTGCTGTGGGTAGCTAGGTTGAAATATAGCTGCATTTAAATTCAACTTGGTGCTAAAACAGTTTCTGCGTTCTATAAATAGAAATGAATGATTGTCAAGAGATCCTACCTTCCTTTTATCTTCTGTATGAAGTCATATTTAGTCTGGAGAAGAGGAGGCTGAGGGGAGACCTTATCGCTCTCTACAACTACCTGAAAGGAGGTTGTAGTGAGGTGGGTGTTGGGCTCTTCTCCCAAGTAAATAGTCATAGGACAAAAGGAAATGGGCTCAAGCTGCGCCAGGGGAGGTTTAGATTAGATATTAGGAAAAATTTCTTCATGGAAAGGGTAGTCAAGCATTGAACAGGCTGCCCAGAGAGGTGGTGGAATCACCATCCCTGGAAGTGTTCAAAAAACAGGTAAATGTGGCACTTGGGGACATGGTTTGTGGGCATGGTGGTGTTGGGTTGATGATTGGAATGATGATCTTAGAGGTCCTTTCCAACCTTAATGATTCCTAGTTTTTACTTTCATTATAAATAATCCAGCCACCAAGCCAGGAAACATGAAATTGCTACTCTACCCTTAATTGGTTTAGTGATGGACTTGGTAATGTTAGGTTAATGGTTGGACTGGATGATCTTAAAGGTCATTTCCAACCTAAACGATTCTATGATTCTATGATATTTTAGTCCCCTTCCAGCTTAATAAAGTAGTAATTACAGCTAAGAAATATAAACATTTTCTTAAGAGCTTAGGTTCTTCCCTAACTAGTTTGAAAAAAAAAAAAAACCACAAAACCCAAATAAACCAAAAACTCATGAAAGAGTGCAATCTCAGTTCTTTAATACAGAAGAAAAACTCTGTATGAAAGTATTTTCCCTAACTCCTCCCTGATTAACACCACCAAACAGTGTCTGAGCTACAATGAAGTTTTTGTGTGCCATGATGAGTTGGGGGGCATGGATTAGCCTGCAGGTACACATGTACAGTAGAACAATTAATGCACTGGTTTGAAGAAGTGAACAAGTCAGTAACCTTGGGGGTGTTCATCTATAAAAGAAGTTGCTAGAGATGTGTAAACAGTTCCTCCTTATAACCTTCATGACCAATTTTTCATTTACAAAAGATCAGATGCTTCACACAAGCTAGCAACTGCACTCAGAAACATAAGTTCTCCCAGACAGCACATTATCATTTTCATTTCTCTTACATGCAAGCTCTCCCCAAATGCCCATCCAGTTCTATTTCCTACTTACAAAGAAATGAGAGATTTCAAGCCTTTGAATGCATCAGGCGCAATGTCAGATATTTGATTCTTGCTGATGTCTCTGTAAAGAGAAGGGAGGATTAAAAAAATATTTGTAAACAGGAATTTGATGAAAATATTTTAGCTGTAGTTTATTGGAAGAATATACTTGATACAAAAACAGAACTCAAAGATCATATTACCTCAGAGAAATTACGAACTATGTAAGGACACAGATAGGCAAATTCTGGGAATGATCAGAAAACATCAGTCAATACAACAGGTCATAGCCTCAATAAATCGGCGGCTCCCCTGTTAATAAGGTCTTTCATTTTATGGACATTGAAACAAACAGTTTTATGAAGAACTTTGAAGAACAACAGTGAGGTAGTCCATTGAATAAAAATGGTTGCTAAAAGCATCTTAAGAACTATTAATAATGGAGATTGCATTGTGACTTTCTGGGGTGGCCCTCAAGCATGAGGAGCAGCCTGTTGCAAAGCATAACGGTTGTCTGAATGTTTATATGCAGGCATGGAAGGCTAACTTTATAACAGTACGGAAGATCATATTTTGGTTATAAGTGAAATTACAGATAAGGTGAGGAGAGGTTCTAAGGTGGCTGGAAAGTGCTGGCAGGACATGCATTAAGGAAGATGGTGGGATTAACAGCATCAGCATGGTATAGGCACCAGGGGAATGGCTTCTGAGGCAGCAAGACTGTTTGTCTAAGAGAAGAAACATTGTGGTAAATGAGATATAAATATGAACATATTCATAAATACCAGAAAAATGTAGTATAGTCAAACAAAATTCCCGTCAAAACCGTAGGAAATTCAACTAAGGGTTAGTCTCAATTTATATGAAACAGTATCAATAATTCTTAGGATGATAAAATTCTTCTGAGGTAATACTTTTCCCACACCATCTCTGTTTAATACCAATGGGAAAGGGGATGGGAAACAGACTACCTAGCCCATGATCTCAAAGCAGGCACCAGTGAGGAGTTTGGCACTCTACCAGTGATGTTTGGTATTTAATGGCCTAGAGAAAACAAGCAGCGCAAAATTCTGCCATGACCTTGATCTGGTGAGGCAGGCAAGAGGGTCGACACAGCACTGGCAGGTCTGCCTAGAGTTTTCAGACACTAGGGAAAGCCTTCGCGCATCTGAATGGAAATCATTGAAGCCAGCAGCACTGCAGGGAACACCCAGCGCGTTGCAGACCCTGCCAGGGAGCCTCAGCAAGATTCCACCCTTTCAGCTATGGTGTGAGTGGAATTCAGGCATAGCCTGCTGCCATTTTCAAGGGAAAGTGTGTTCCTGGTTTGGAAAATACCCTTCAATTTTAATCATAACCAACCAAGTACACAAAGATAGACTACGCCACAATTTCTTTATACATGGAGCCAAATTTACTACACTTGGGACCCAGATGCTCAGAACTGGGTGCTTTATCATGACTGTTGCTGCACTCCTATCTTGCTGTTAATCAGTTCAACCAGGTGCTTAGCTACGGGCATAACTTTCAGCCACCTTGTTGCATTCACTGACAGCTGGTATCAGCTTGTATCAGTAGTATCAAATCTTTTCACTGATAGCTGTAGCTGGAGTAATACAGTATTTCATGTACATCTTCACTGTTATTTCCACTGGGGCACATGCTAAGGATCCCAGTCAGACTCTAAATAAACATCACTTGAACAAGAACTTAGGAATCAGAAAGTAAAAAAGTTTTCCATTCTACATGTTTCGAGCTACAAATTCTGTTGGTTAAAATTTTTATGAAGTCCTCCAACTGTTTTCAAATCTAGCCACATAAAATGGGATTTTCTGTTGTTCTTTTGTAAGGTTTGGTTCTTTTATAAGGCTCATGAAACAACTGCTTGGCAATCTACTGATGTTTTCTATTACTACATCCTGCCTACAAGGACAGCATTCAGTGAAGTTTTCCGGTTCTTCAGCTCAACTCACGGAAGCCAAATTTGTGACAGTGAAAGTAGGAATATTTATTTTTATACAGGTTTTTGTGAAACTTTTTGAGACTGCCTGGTAGCATTTGCTGCTTTTTATCTAATAATTCTTATGTAAGCAGCAGTCTGATGCGAACCTGTGATATCTATTTATTGAGGAATATATTTAAACCTATTACAATGACATGAAATCATGAGTTTGCTGAACAATGACAAGCATCTGAAAAGGGGCATCTAGTTTCTGAAGCAAGTATTTCAGCACTATTTTTTTGATTTGCTACATTTCAACATTTCCATCCTTTCTCTCTCCCCGTGTCCGGGAGACATGCTAATGAGTGTGTAACTAATGGTGCCTGAATGTGCATAAATGCCATGCTGGGTGATGACACTCCCTCACTTCATGCAGATGCACTACAATCAGCATTAGAAGATAATTAGTCACATTATTTCCTTTCCATTAGAGCCCAAGCTCCACTGCTGTTGGATAAGGATGCTCCATCTCCTTCTGACTTGACTGAGGCAAAGGGATTCAATTATGTCCTTGTACTTTTGTTCCCTTCCTTTGGTCTGCTTTGGTAAGATCATCCTATTCTGTGTTTGACATACATCAAGGCAAAGAGATAAGGGTTTCTGTAACCTGCACAACTAAGTCAATTTAGATCACGTAAGGCTCATTTCATAGTTTAGGGTATCTCTGAATCACTCAGTGAAAATGTGGCTCTTTAGCTGGAAATAATAAACTTATCAGGATTCCACCCAGGCAGGGAATACATTAGTCACCTCATACTAGCCTCCCTGCACCTCTGACAGTACGTAGAGATCTTCTTTCAAAAGGTTGTTTAGTTTAACACACCTTGGAGGGTGGCTGTGCTCAGTGACCAGCTAGGGACATAAATTGTTTTTGACTTTGCACCAGGGGAGCAAGGATACCCTGTGAGTCACTGTATAACATATGACTGTATGGCTTAAATGTCTTTACTGTAAAAGGTTTTGAAACAAAACAGATTTATTTTTAGATGCAGCCAAATGCAAAACTATTAATAGCATTGGATGAATATTCTCTTTGTCAACTAACATTATTAGAAACAGATTACTTGATTATCTCTAACATGTAAAATGGACTGTTCTCATTTGACAAGAGTACTCAGCAAAAATCCACGTCATATATGGTTTAGGTTTTAGAAGCTGCTTAACAAAAGTAGCAATGCTACAGAGCTACTGGGAAGACTGTAAAATCTCAGTGTGTTTTCTGCTAATATACAGAAAAATTAATTTGACAACATGAAATGCCGCTAAAAGCATCAGAGCTAGAGAGGTACAAGCACATCTTTCAAAGTGGCTCTATGTACTTGGTTCTTAGTCTTGTGCTACAAACTTGTTAGTTAAAAGCCTCAGAAAAGCAAAGACAAAATGGGAGGTAATGCCATAAACTTTGGAACTCGTAGGCTAGAAGTTACAGAACTATGGTACAAGCACAACTGCTATGTAAGTGAATTCAAAATAGCATGTCTGGGCTTGGATACTTCATGCAATAATGACAACACCTTCTAATTCTGAAGATGGGATGTATCTCCTTCAAGCCCCTCAAACCTCTTCTGAAGCCCTTGAATAATTGAGCACAGAGCTAGGACCTGTTACTTTCATCCCAAAATCAGGGGAACCATCATCCCAGATGATATAATTCAACTGAAATCAATTTGAATCCTATAGGTGTCAAATCTTCCTTCTGAGACAGACACATTTAGCTTCATGTAATTAATTGTGTGAGAAGATGTAGGCAAGTATGATGAAGTCCAAGACACAAAAGATTTCAGCTCCTTTGCTAAAACCCGGTCACCAAAATAACTCTCCCACCCTAGAAGCTATTGAAGAGATTCTAAAGAGCAAAATTCAGCTAGATGCAAGTATAACACTTGAATTAATATACATACATTTCTGTTAGCAAATTGACATATTAATATCAAGTCATATAAAGATTATCTTGGACAACTGGCTCTTACCTAAAAATTAATCTCAGTTATCCAATTATTTATGAAAAGGAAACTGCATAATCTTGCAGGAAATTCTCAGTAAATATTGAGAGTGCTGCAAGTGAGCAGTCTATTATCCCTAACATTCTTGCGTATTTATTCACCAGAAGGAGAAAAATACAATACAATTCACACTGTTATATTAATACTTTCCTCTGAATTATATAAAATTATTATTATTAATAAGGATAACAATAATGTTCTTCATTTGTACCCTGGGTAGGGCATCAATTAATTAAATCAAGAATCTTCATGCTATTGCACTGCTCATTGAAATCAAAGTGACAGAAATTAAGGAAGGCTGAAGACTTCAGTGATATCTAATATGTCCTTCCTCTGTAAGAAAAAGGATGGATAATTCTTTACTTTTAAGAAATAGTCTTTTGACGGAAGTATGTTTTTGTGTTAACAATACTGGGAATCTTGCACACTGAAAAGATGATGTCAATAATCTCTTCAAATAGTGGAACAAATGTCCTCAATTAAACTATATGCAACAACGATGCCCAATTTAGAGCCTCACTCCAGCAAGAATAAAACTTTAACAAGGAGACAGGTCAATAAACCAAATGGCAAAACATCATGTTTGTCAAGGGGCATTCTGCAGCCTAACTATCTATCCCAAGTTCTTCCACAAAGTACTGTCATGTTAACTAAGCTTTGATACAGATCATCTGGCACAATAACTTATTATTTAACTATGACTACAGATCTCAATAAGTATGCCAATTATACTCCAGAAAGCTGTTAACACAACTCGCTAATGGAATTCTGCTGTGAAATTCTAACATTAATCATTTCACATAGTAAATGTAGCATTGGGTTGAGCAGCTAGTCAAGTTAAAGAACATTTTTTTGGTCAACCCCCATAAAACTAGAGTTCACCAATCATGAAAAATGAAAGGACAGTAAAACATTGCCAAAATCTAAAATTAGTCATACCTCAGAAAGAACTAAGTAGCGACTTTAATAATGAAAAAGTTACAAGTTAGGTCACAGAAAAGGGATCCATCATTCTTCACTGAAATTACCGTCTTGCTATCTAATACAGTACTTCTTTAAAAATACATATAGCTATATTGAAAGTGAGACAGAAGAATAGAGATTCTATCAGATTGATGATTTGACCTGTTAAATATTAAGATCCATATTTACAGCTCTTCAGCTCTAGGAACTTGGTAAGTTTGGACTGGCAAACATAGTAATTTTACCCTTAAATCCAAAGGTACAGCGCAAGCTCATTTCAGTTTCCAAAAGCATTAGCTATCTGATAATCCACTGCCTTCTGTGAAGTGAGCTGACAGTTTCTTAACTCCAGTAAGTATTGCTCACATCAGAAAACAAGAACTGTAAAGGCACCTTTTTAGCAGTCTTAGCACTGAGCTACAAAACCTGAATGACTTCTGGAAGTTACTGGTCCAGTGGTATACATCAACATCTTAATACGATGGTGAAGCAGGAGTAACTTGTTTTACCATTGTCTGTACCATTGTACTCCTGTCACAACATCTCTCATATATCACTTAAAAATGAAAAAAAGAAGACTGACCAGGGGGAATGCCCAGGTTATCTGCATGAGAGCACTGCTGTGAACCAGGATTATTTTTTTAAAATCCAAAGAGAAAACACAAGAGCTGATAAGAAAAGAACTGTCTGGGTATCTACTGGTAATTAAGAAATAGAGAAAACAAGCTCCAGCAGGTTTCTTTGTTTTCTTGTAAACAGTCAAACCATTTCAGCATCAGGACATTGAATGCACTACAAAAAAATCCTAAATACTCTGCAAGAACACGCATTC